TCCAAGCTCTTCCACTCCTGCTCAGAGAAATTAAACGAGTTGTTGTTGAAAGTCACCGGGACCTGCAATGACAAGGGTGATACACTCAACACCTTCTGCTCCCTGTCTACATGCCACCCCTTGTTTCCTCCAACACCCCATTCTGCCCTGTCTTCTCCCTCGGTCGCCATATCCTCTTCTGGATTTTATTGTTCCTCCTCATTCCCACCTGCTGCTCCCCAAGATTGGGCCTGGCTCCCGTCAGCTGTACACAGCTGAAATCCATTCCCCACTGAAGTCTATGACAAAACTCCCATTGACTTCACTGGGGCCAGGATTTCACCTCATGAGTCCTCGCCTCTTCCTACAGCCGAAGCCTTCTGTAGGATTTCCATCGCAGACCCTTTGGACAGCCTGCTGCCTGCTTCATCCTTTAGTTGCGTCTATTGCAATTGACCCCTGATCCTGCAAAGGGAGGAACATGAGCAGCCCCTGGGATGCGTGCAGAGCCCCCCAAACTGCATGAGACTCTGCAGGAGCAAAGGGTCGGCCCACATGGATCTGACTGCAGGATCAGCACCGCAGATTGTAAGTCGCTCAGAGCAGCAGCGTGTCTTACCTATATGTTGTCAAATGCCATGCATACACCAGACACTATGTAGGCTGAGCTGCCTTGGGCACTTTGCACAATCAGTATCCAAAAAAAGATACTTTAGTTGCAAAGTCCTGTTCCAACTGGCTGAGTTGGCGTCTCTGGGGAGGTCACACCCTGCATTTAAATCCCCCATTAAATACAGCTATGCCATTGCCGGCCACACTGTTACATTTACATTAGAATTCTCCATACAACCAAATACATGAGTCAGATGGGCACAGAAGAGGAAAAGAAACATTGTTGGTTTTCTCTCCGTGGCTGGTTAATGGTTCGTTAGCCTCTACCCTTTCTCAAATTGTTTGTCACGTGATTACTGAAAGCCTCCCCCCTGAGCTAAGAGGTCAAATTTCCAAAGGAAGCAACATTAGAAGCAGAATCCATATATCTTCGAAACGATGGGACAAAGGGAAGCTGCAGAACAGGTGAGCAGCAAGAATGGGGATGGGAAAACCCACAGTATGACTCCCTTAAAACAAATCTACTTGCGCAGAACATTCTGAGTGTACAAAATGCCCCTTCAGTGTCTGGTACAGGGTCTGGCTTTACATCCCCTCAGCACTAGCTGGGACCTTGTTACCTTGGGGACTTCTCCATTAGCGCCAGGGGGGAGTCTCAGGATCCAGAAGTTCCTGTTCTTCAGCAGGTTCTCCATGTTCTCCAGCCTCCTCTGCAGTTGCCCGTACTCCTGGATCAGAGTTCCCAGTGCAGTCCACTTACTCTCCAGCTGGTTCCCGAACTCCACTGCTGTCTTCTCACAACCGACTAGTTTCGTTTCTGCCATCCTCATTCTTCCCTCCAGATTCATCAGTTGTGCTGCCTGAACCTCAACCTTCCTGTCCACAGCTTGGATTTCCGCCACGACCGTAAGGGAAATCTCTGCTGTCTGAAGATCTGCTTCTTCCATAGAAGTTGGTTCGGGGACAGCAAGAGGTTGTTCAAGTGACAGGTCCTGGGACTCCATGTCCCATTCAAGAGCCTGTTTGCAATGACAGATATTGGAAAGGGGGGTCACGTTCCCAAGTAGCAGAGTCAGTCACAAAGAGAAACAACAAACGAGCCACATGCCACAGCCTGCTGGGAGCTTCCTGAGTCTGGATCTTTATTACTATCGGGTCACATTAAAGATGCAGCAATGAGAATGTTAAACTTGAAATCCACTCAAACATGCATTAAAAGTAATTTCGGTTCCTCTCTCTGTCCCTGAAACCCCACCAATGTTTGTGTTTTGACAGTTGTATTTTTGATATTTTCCTCTCTCCCCCGGTGCTGTGTGAAAGCCTCCTCACCCCCAACAATAGGGGAAACAGACCACCCGCACCGAGAAAACAGAAACCGAGTAGACACAAAGGGCTGTCAAAGGAATCTCCGTCTCTGGAGATATTTAAGAGGAGGTTAGATAAATGTCTATCAGGGATGGTCTAGACAGTATTTGGTCCTGCCATGCGGGCAGGGGACTGGACTCGATGACCTCTCGAGGTCCCTTCCAGTCCTAGAATCTATAAGGCACAAAGCAAATAACTGGTGGGGGGGAAAACCCAACCCCCCAATTTCCCCTTCTCTAATCTGTGACTTGTCAGAACATTTGGCATCCCATGTAAGGACAGCGGGGAAGAGCTTTCCAGCCGGAGGGCTCTTGACATTGACGGAGCCCTTCGGCGCCTTCTGCCCTAGAGGTTTCTGTGCCCCAGCAAGTCTCTCTGGGCTACAGAGGCGGTGGGAGCAGCCCTAGGCCGAGCATGGGCTGCCCTAGAAACACACACGGGGGGTGTGGGGGTGCGTGTGGGGGGGGCTCTTGGAGCTCATGAAGCAGCACAGCTCCAGTCCCCCCCTGAACCAGGGGGCTGTCCCCAGGGTGCAGGGCTGAGCCCCCCCCGCCCCCCAGCCCCTTGGGCCTGGGCAGGGAACCCCAGGGCGCCCCGAAGGGCCGGCTCCCGGCTCCCCGGGCCCAGCGGGAGGATGCTGCCCCCCCCCGGCAGTCCCTGCCCCCCCGGCCCCTTACCTGCTCGGGCGCCCACTCAGCCATGGCCCTGGGTGGGGATCGCCTAGCCGGAGCCTGCCTGGGAGCGGGGCCGAGCGGGGCGACGGCGCTGGGCTGGGCAGGGTCCCAGCACCTCCTCAATAGGGGCTGGGCGCGGCGGCCATGCTGGGGGAGCAATGCATGCTGGGAGCCCGGCTCGCCGGCCGGGGCCGGATCCCCGCGCCAGCAGCGCCCCCTGCAGGGGGGAGGGGCGCACGGCACGCAGGGGTTTGCAAAGCCCCGCCCACCCCTCCGGCGGGGAGGGGAGGGGGGGTGTCAAGCTCAGCTAGAAACCAGGAGTCGCGTCCCCCCGGTGGGTGCTGGCCCAGTGCACGGCGCGGCAGGCGGGCGGGGGGGGGGCCCTGTGGCACCGGCACCCATTGCCTTTGCCTTGCCCAGCTCCTAAACATTTGCAGCCTTAGCACGGGGGCTACTGCAGCGTTAGTATCTAACCCGCGGGCTGGTCCCTTCCGCTGTGTGTCATTGACCCCGTACTGCTAACGGGGATTCTCCTTTCACGCCAGTGGCAGGGGACTGGCGTTGGGACCCACATCGCGGCCAAAGTTGCCTAGCTTGGCGTGTGTGACCCTTCTCAGAGGAGAGTCAGGGCTGTGGTGGTGAGGGAGCCCAGGCAGCCTCCCACACTACTGCGGAGGGTGGAAGAGTATGAAGCAGCCGGTGGGGGGGAGTTTGGCAGCGGGGGTAGGGTTGGGGCTCCCGAGGGTCTTAATAGTGAGAGGTGATCAGCTGGGGCAGCTGATGGCTGGCAGGGCGCCAGGGGCACCTTTGGGAGTTCAAGGTTGGGGGTGTCTGGGGCAGGTGGGTAGATGGGGGGTGCTGCATGCCTGAAGTCAGGGGTATCTGGAGCGGTTCGGGTGAAAGGGCAGCTACCTGGGAGGAGTGAGGGGTACCCCAGGGGGGGTTTCTCGGGCAGCTGCCTGGGGGGAGCTAGCTCGGAGGGATGCCAGGGGAACTGCCTGGCAGGGATAGAGGGAAAGTATCCCTGGGGGGGCCAGTGGGCGGTGGGGGGAGCTGGCTGGGAGGAAGGGGTACAGGGGTCAATGTGGGAGCAGCCTGGGGGGTTCCCTGGAGCAGCAGGGTATCAGGGCACCGGGCGGGGGGTATTGGGGAGTCCCTGGAGCAGCGGGGTATCAGGGCACCGGGCGGGGATCCCTGGGGCGGGGTAGCGGGTGGGGTGAAGCCCCAGAGTGGAAAAGGGGGTTCCTTGCACCGGCGGCCCAGCGCTCACTTCCCCACCCCGGGCAGCCCCCGCCCCACCCCCGCCCTGCCGGTAGAACAGCCACCCAGGAGGGGGCGCAGGTCACAGACCCTGCGGGACACCCCCCGCCCCACGCCTTAGCTGTGGGGCAGGGCACGGGGGGCACCCCTCGCCGTCCCCTGCAGGGTCTGGCTAGACCCCCCGTTACACCTGGCAGGGGCGGGGAAGCGGCTTCTCCTCCTCCCCGCAGCAAACGCGCCCCAGTGAGAGCAGGGCTCCCATGTCCCAGGACCCCTGGCAAGCTGGCGCTGGGCAATGGGGGGGGGTACCTGCTGTCACCCTCCCCCGGTGCCAGCCATTGAGATTCTCCCGCGCCCACGTTTCAATGCTGACCCCTAGTGGCAGGGGGCAGTTGCTAGTCCCTCAGCCCCAGGCTGGGGGTGGCAGGCTGTGTCCTACCCTCCACCCTGGAAGATTTTTCAGGGTTAGGCAACAGCAGCCCAACACCAGGCACCTCCCCAAAACCAGACGAGGGACTGGGACCGGCCTCCTAGCACCCCTCTGCCATTCCTAGGCAAGCCAAGGAGATGGGCCCCCTAGACTGGAACAGAGGGAGAGTTGGGTGTGCAGGCCAACGTGGGCACAAACGTGGGGAGGGGGAGGCCAGCACAGGGGCCATGCACAACCACAGGCTTTTCAGGAGCACACGCTGGTGGCTCCATTCACATCAGTCTTAAACTTCAGGTTAATGCAGGAGATTCACTTAAGTGTTTCATACACCTCTAACAGGAGTACTAACAACACCAGCCCTGGACTAGTGCCTTCGGCACTCACTGCCTCCGTTTCCCCATCTGTCCAATGGGCATATTCACTGACCTCACAACGCTGGGGGTGTTAAATGAATAGGCCTGACCCTGAAAATGGGTCTTTCACCCGACAAGCATTGGGAAAGTGCTAGTGAAACTCAGCTTGTAGCAGGCGGAGGTTAGAGTGGCGGCAGCAAGGGGAGGAGTGGAAGATAGACCAGTGGAAAAAACAGAGGTGGGCTGGGTTAGTGACGCTCATTAAGCAAGTTCCACAGGTGGCCGAATGGAAAGGGGTATGGTACAAAACACAGACATGCACCTGACTTGAAACCAAGGGAAAGACGTTTAGTTAGAGGCACCGTGTTCATTCAACTGATATTTACACAAGTGTTTGAATTCCCTCCTTGTCCGCATGGTTTGGATCATTCAGGAGACACCCTGCCAGGTTTTACTGTCACCAACCCAGCAGCTCTTTAGGATGTTTACTGGAAAGTGTACTCAGAAACCATGATCTACTTGACCAAGAGTGACACCCCCTCCATTTATGAATCTGAATGGATTGTGGCCACCTTTCCACTGGCCCCAAACCAAACAAGCCTGAGCCTGCCAGCTATCAAACTCCCCTCACCAGAGGCGGAGCGAAGAGCTGAGGGACTCTGCTCTCCTCCTGGGAGGATCACCTCTCTTTTCTCCCCCCACCCCCACCATCCCTCCTCACTGTCCCCTTTGCTCCATTCTCCACTCACTGCCACCTGCCTCCCCATCCCCCCCAGTGCTGCCCTTTCCATGCTTTCTTTACTCCATTCAGCTGCTCACTGCAGGCCCTCGGTCCCTCTTGCTTTTAAGCTCTCCACTCTGTGGGTCTAATCCTACAAAGTGCTGAGCTGTGCCATCAACTCCCATTGCAGTCAACAGGACCGGAGACCACTCAGTACCTGGTAACGTCAGGCTTAGACTGTGCATCTGCCTCCTTCTTTCCACCCAGCGTAAACCTTCCCTTCCAAACAGGGCGGGGAGGAAGTCCCCGTTCCAGCCCCTGGCCCGTAGGTAGGAGCGCTGATCATGGCGTTTCAACACCACCGGGCTTTTTAGTCTAATGCTTCCCTCTCCTGGCTCGGTGTGGCAGCAAAATGAGATGGAACAACAGTGAAAGTGGAACCTGTACCCCTTCCGAATATCCACAAGCCAATGAATAGCTGGCAACACCTCCCAACTTGAAAGCCCCCCCCGGAAAAAGTTCATATTTATTACCAAAGAGACTTTAAACAGGAGTCAGCCGCACATCATGGCCTATGTTCTTCAGCAGTGACAAGTGATTTGGGGGCCCCCTCAGTTTTTGATTTGGCCTTCAAGAGGTCTGATTTTAAGCAAGTGCCAAGCAGGCTCCGTTAAGGCTTCTCCAGCTGGGCTCCCAAAATTTAGACCCTGTTAAAATAATTTTAAATTTGGAAAGCACGTTGGGCTCTACTGATGAAAAGTGCCACGTGAGAACTAGGTAGTTTTATTAAATACCCCTTAAAGGATAGTGGCATGAAACTGCCAGCAGTTATAAAACAGTTATCCAGCACTGGCTGTAGGCTGGATGTTTAAGGAATTTAGTGGGTTGTTTTAGGCTGCGATTTTCCAAGCAGCCTCAGGGAAGGTGATGCCCCGGAGTTGGATGTCTAACTCCTGTAGGGAGACACGGTGGGTGAGGTAATATCTTATCGGAATTTGGTCCAATAAAAGGAGATTCCCTCACCCACCTTGTCTCTCATATCCTGGGACCAACACAGCTATGACAACACTGCACACTCCTGTAGGTCAAACTGGAAATCCCAGCCTCCCTGTACGTCACATGACGTCAGGACCTGCAAGGCACTCCCCGCCCAGGGACTCCTGCCCCGTCTCTCTCACACACAAAGAGGTCTAGCCGGGGTTTGTTGCTCAGGGGACAGGGCTCTGCCCATGGGGCAGTGGTTCCCCAGGTGGATTTTCAGGTGGCAGTTCAGTGACTGTTTGTAGCGGAAGCTCTTCTCGCACTGGGGGCAGCGGTGGAGTCTCTCGCCCGTGTGCACGCGCTGGTGCTTCAGCAGGTGGTGCTTGCGGATGAAGCACTTGTCGCACTGGGCACAGGCGTAGGGCCGCTCCCCGGTGTGGATGCGGAAGTGGTTGGTGAGCTGGGATTTCTCCGTGAAGCGCTTCCCGCACTCTCCGCAGTGGTAGGGCCGCTCCCCCGTGTGGATGCGGAAGTGGCTGGTGAGCTTGGACTTCTCGGTGAAGCTCTTCTGGCAGGTGGGGCACTGGAAGGGGCGCTCGCCTGTGTGCAGCCGCTGGTGATCGACCAGGTAGTACTTCTGGGTGAAGCTCTTCTCGCACTCGGGGCACTGGTAGGGCCGCTCGCCCGTGTGCACGCGCTGGTGCTTCAGCAGGTGGTGCTTGCGGATGAAGCGCTTCCCGCACTGGGCGCAGGCGTAGGGCCGCTCGCCGGTGTGCGTGCGGTAGTGGTTGGTGAGCTTGGACTTCTCCGTGAAGCTCTTCTCACAGTCGGTGCACTGGTAGGGCCGCTCGCCCGTGTGGATCCGCTGGTGCCGGACCAGCTGCGAGGGGTGGGTGAAGTTCTTCCCGCAGTCCGTACAGAGCAGCGAGCCCTCGCCCTTCCCCACGTGGAGTCGCTGGTGGACGAGGAGGCTTATCTTCAGCCTGAAGCTCTTCCTGCACTTAGCGCAGGTGTACGGGCCTGTGTGACTGACCTGGTGCTTGAGAAGGCTGGATTTGAGGCTGAAGTTTATCTCGCCCTCAGAGCATTTGTAGGGCTTTGCACCTCCCAGGACCTGGCTTCTCTGGGGATGTAGGAGACTGGATTTCTGACTGAGGCCTTCTCCACATGCTGGAGAAATGCAGACTCCCCCTGCTGCGTGGACTCCCTGGTGCACTGCGAACAACTGCTTACAGACAAAGCTTTCCCCACATTCATTGCATATATACGGCCCCTCTCCTGGGTGACTTTCCTCCTGCTCAGTGGCTGTTGCAAGGCCGCTGAAGTCTCCTCCACACAGAGTGGGCTGGCCCAGGCTGCTTCCTGCAGGGTTTCCGTGCTGTGTCAATGAGCTGCACTGACTTCCGGGGCTCCATCTCGCAGCAGGTCTCTGGAAATCCTCCTCTGAGCTTCCCTGCGCCCCCTTGGGAAGTTCCGGGATGGCAGCACTGTCCTCAAGACACCACTCGTCTGCTGGAATACAAAGGGAATCCAGAGAGGATTTAACAGCAACCTCTTCCCAGGACATTCCTCAGTCACCAGGGAAGCCCAGGAAGGTGTTTGTGAGTGGAGAGGGTTCCTGTCTGCAGACACTGCTGGAGCCATACAAATAAACAATCATAAAGCCCCCCCCCCCCACTGCTTCACCATAGCTACCTTGTCCTTACATACTTATCACCTTCCCACCCCCATGTTCTGGTCCTCCAGCCTGTGATCTACCTCCACTGCCCAGTAACATCCCTCTTCTCTGCCGGCAAAGCATTTCCTGTATACGTAACTCACCCTTGATGGGATCTGTAGGGATTTCTCTCTCCACCAAGCCCCCCTGACTCTCAGCACATGGCGTTTCCTCTTGTTTAATCCATGAGCTGTCGCTGGGAGTAGAAGTGGGAGATCCTGTTCACGGGAAGGAGAATGGCATTAGGTTTCTCTCACATCCGCTGAACCCTTTAGGGAGGATTTCAGGGCAGATGGCAACAGCTGGCTGGCGCCAGCACTAGCTGTGATTGGCGAAAACTCCCACAGAGAAGGAACACGTTGATCGAACTCATCAGAAGAAATACAACAACTACAAGAGCACAGGAAGCTCATGTTAATTTCCTGCCCTTGACGACGTCTTGCTGCTTCCAGTTGCTCTGGTCAGTTCCTCCTCACCTGTGCTGGGATCCGGCGGGGTTTCTCTTTTTCGAGATTCCTGCTGTTCCTGGACTTCAATCGGGGACTGAGCATCAGGCGTGGAAGCAGCATTGTCTGTTCATGGGAAAGGATATTAAGGGATTAGGGTTTGGTTAATAATTCACTGAGTTCACACCTACAAATCCACAGACTCTTTAACTAGTTTAAACCAGCCCCCTTCCATCACCAGAGGCCATGGCTAGCCCCGGTGGCAGTAAAGGATAGGGTGGCTGCTCTTTTCGTAACCGACAGGGCTGATGTGGGACTGGCTTGCTTTGTCGGGGCTCAGGCACTGTGAGCTGATCACAGGAGCGCTCCCCGAATCTGATCAGCCAAGTAGTGTGGAGCAGGATACGCTTTAGGTACCCCCCATCATGCATGGGGAGAGAGATCAGGAAGAGGGGCTCCCTACCTCCTTGTGGATAAGACCAGAGTCTTCGAGAGGCCGGGCTAGCAGGTGCCTACAGCCTGAGCAGAATCTGGCACTTCCAAGATCTGACTGATACTAAAGGAATTTTCAACTCATCTTTACCCAGCGAGATCAACGTCTCATAGTTGTTCCTCATTGTGTTCTTGTGAAGCTCCTCCCGCCGTTGCTCTAAAACCCCCCACTCCTGCCCGGAGAAACAGCCCGAGACCTCATCGAACTTCACAGGGACCTGAAATCACAAGCGTCACACCCTCAGCACCTCCTGCCCCCACTGGGGAGAGTATTCAGCATCTCCCCTCCCCAGCACAGTGTCACACAAACCTCCTTCGTCATCACCGTCAGAGCGTGACGCAGCTCACCCCTGCCTCTCACAGCGCCCCTAACGCTCCCTCTCATGCCCGTACTCTGCCCAGTTCCCTCTTCTTAACACTCTGTCAGCTTCTCCAGGTTCTGACTTTATGTCTCTTCTCATGCTGCCCTTACATCCTGAAAGCTTCCAGCAGTGCGTATGCCAAGCATTCTCCCTCATGCCTTCTCCAAACCCAATACTTTCATCTAGCCTTCCACTGCTGATTGAGCATGGCTCTACTCCCCTCTTCATGCCTTAGCCTGCAATAGTTTGATTGATGTAACCGCAGGTACCTCGCCCCTGGCCCCCTCAAACCTCTCCCTGCCAGCAGGGATACCTGTTCGCCGAATCTGTGATAGCTCTATGGGAGGAGACCATGGCTAGGATGCTCTGGACCAATTAATATCACCTGTTTTCCCTTTACCCCCTTTCCTCCTCTCTCTGGGTGCCGAATCAGCAATTGCATCCCTCGCTCCTTATGAAGGAAAATACATAAAACCAAAGACTGGCACTTAAACTGATCACTGACCAGTTGCATACTACGAAAAGCTGCAAGCTCAATACTACAGGTTAAGACTCGATTGCCAACGTTCAAATCGATAGCTCTAGACTACACGTGCTAATTTCCTGGTCTCATTGCATGGCTCCCTGTACTCACTCCGGATCTGAGAGCCTGTCACGGTATCTCAGCGTAAGAGAGTGTCTTGTAGTTCTCCCCCTTTTATTGGTCTGTAGATGGGGAGGAGCAGAATGGAGCTAAGGAGCCCCGACTGGTGCTTCGTTGTGCACCAGTGCACCCAGTCTATCCAAGCCATTTTGTAACAGACCTGAATATCCCTGGGCTACACACCCCTGGGACATCTAATAGAGGGGACAGCTTTACTTCTGCCCCTCAGTGCTGGCTGGGATATTGTTACCTTAGGGACTTCTCCCTGGGCGCCTGGGGGAAGTTTTAGGATCCAGACATCTTTTTTCTTCAGCAGGTTCTCCATGTTCTCCAGCCTCCTCTGCAGCAGCCCGTACTCCTGGATCAGAGTTCCCAGCACGGCCCATTTACTCTCCAGCTGGTTCCCAAACTCCACCACTGTCCTCTCGCAGCCGACTAGTTTGTTCTCCGCCATCCCCATTCTTCCCTCTAGCGTCAACAGTCGCGTGGCATGCGACTCCACGGTCGTCTCCACAGTCACCTCGGGCCACATGGCAGTCTGTTCCAGCGGCAGCTGCATTTCTGCCTCAGAAGTATGATCAGAGGCAGCCGGGGGGGTTAAAGGCACTGGTTGCTCTGCTGTGACATCCCATTGCGGAGCCTGCTTGCAAGGAGAGAAGAAGAGATCGGCCACAAAGAGAAAGGGCGTACGGCCCGCTCACGTGTTCCAGGCTGCTCCACGCTCTCTGGGCCCGAGAGTTAATCTTTTACGGCTGCCTTCCAGATGCAACAACAAAAATGGCAACAGACCCTTCTCTGTCAGCCTCACGTTGGTGGGTTTGGGACTCTAACGATATAAACTTCTCAGGCTCGTCAGCGACGTACTCGCTACACCCGCTGATCTGAACGCTTCTTCCACCAGGGGACCTAATTCCGCTGCCATTTCAAAACAGACGTGGAGAAGGTTCTTGGGGACCACATGCCAGGCCTATCCCACACCAGAGACTCTTACCACTCAGCTGAGTGGCGTTCCATGCGTGACATTTCTCACCGCTGGAAAGAGCCAACCATCGCCCCCACGGCCTGACCGTGAGCGGTATGAGAGGTGTGCAGGGGAAGGAGTCGCAGGATGGAAGAGAGCCCTGGAGAAACCAGCAAGATGGGTGTATCGGAGAGGGACCAGGCCAGCCTTGGTTCAAGTGGAAAGAGTGGTAGAGCCTGGGAAGGCCAGTTGGGGGGTAACACGAGCCTGTAGGCTCTGGTGCTGCCAATATCGGTCTCCTCCTACTCCTCTTCCCTGCTCGTGACAAGCACACGCCAACTGGGCACCAGCGGGGGGGCAGGGGGGGGAGACTGAGAGCAGGAAGAGACCGACAGTGTCCAAGCAGTCAGTGCTGAGAAAACCCTGCTCAGTCCCTGCTGAGGGCGAGAGACTCTGTGAGCACGTGTGAGGATGGCATGGATCAGCATCACAGCCCTGGCACCACAATGGGCAGCCAGGCCTGCGTAACCAGGTTGACACTGCTGTTGCTAGGACGCCCCAGAGGGCACGGCCCCCACGTGCTGCACTGCGTGTTGATTTTTGGGCACACGGCGGCCGCCCGGGTAGGTGCCTGGATGAGCCCGGAACGCACGGAAACAAGCTCCGTAGGGAGGATGGGAAACGGCCGTGGGGTGGAAAAGGGGCTGAAGAGACACAACTGAGGCGTGTTTGCTGCAACTGGTTCAGACTTGCGTCCCAAACTGGGACAAAAACACTGTTGCGGTTATAGTGTAGACAGGACCTCCAGTTCCTCACCCCCCCGCAGCCTGGACCCTTCCGCTCACAACCACTTCCTGGCTTCCCCCGGGGGGGACAAAGACCCAGGCCACCCGGGAACTACCCGACACCCGACAAACCCGAGTCCTCCAGCGGCCAATCTCCCGTGAAGGCCCGAAGCCAGCGGGGCGGGTCCCTGCTCCCCGCCCCGGGGCTCAGCCCCCAGCCCGGCCGGGCAGCCCCGCGCTCCGGCTCCCGGGGCCCAGGCCGGGCGGGGAGAAGCTCCCGGGGCCCGAGGCTCCCCCGCCCGCCGGGCCCTTACCTGGGCAGCGGCCCGCTCGGCCATGGCCCCCCCCGGGCGGGGCTTCTCCAGCGGGCCCGGCCCGGCCGAGCTCCGCTCCCGCTCCGGGCTGGGCAGAGTCCCGGCGCCGCCTCGCCTCGCCACGGGCCGGCCCCGCTGCCGGGCGGAGCAGAGCGAGCGCAGCCGGGAGGGAGGGAGCCGCGGCCTGGCTGCCGGGGCCCGGGAGCGGCGGGGAGGAGCGGGGCGGCAGCGGCCCCTGCCGGCGGGTGGGGTGTGACCGGAGCCCGGCTGGGGAAGGCGGCGCTGAGACTGGTGGATTCCAGCCGCCCGACCCCAGCTGGGGGCGCTTGGGACAGCCGGGCTTGTCCTGGGACCAGCAGCGGCGGGGCTGGGCCGAGCATCCGCAAGGCAGCGAAGTCTAGCGGCTAAATAGGCTCTGCTGGTGTCTGTTCGCCAAGGTGCCCAGCCGCCACCCTGGGGTGCCCCTAAGGCCTCTGGCTGCCAAGCAGCTGGATGATTGATTGCCTGTTGTGTTCATTCCCTCTGAAGCACCTGGCATTGGCCCCTGTCCAAGGACAGGCCACTGGGATGGATGGATGGACCATTGCCCTGCCAGCATGATTTGGAAGGATTAGATTTCATAGAATGGTAGAATATCAGGGTTGGAAGGGACCTCAGGAGGTATCTAGTCCAACCCCCTGCTCAAAGCAGGACCTATCTCTAGGCAGATTTTTGCCCCAGATCCCTAAATGTCCCCCTCAAGGATTGAACTCACAACCCTGGGTTTAATAGGCCAACACTCAAACCAACGAGCTATCCCTCCCCATGGAGAGATTTTTCTTAGGAAAGCCAATTTCAGGTACACAGAAACCTACCAGAAATGTTCCTATCTCTACTAATGGACGTTTACAGACAGGTAAAAGAAGAGAAATACTGCCTGAGAACTTGTTAGCGTTTGATTTTAAATGAAGGGGTATTTGTATTTGTATATTTGGACAGGTTGACAGTTGGTGTTTTAACAGTGATAAAGCGTTATCTTTTTGACTCTCAAATTTGACTGTTGTAAAATAATTAAAAAATAAAAATCAAATTCTGCCAAGTCTATGGAAAAAGCAGGCAGGACACCACAATTCTAGTCTCTATCTGCCACCAACCTGCTGGGGGATCTCTTGCACAAGTCTCCACGCCGTGCCTGTTTCCCCTCCGTTTGTCTTTATTTAGATTGTAAGCACAGTGCCCAGGACCCGGCTGGACCATTAGTGTTGATATGACTCAGTGTAAACGTATACATCTAGGAACAAAGAATATAGGCCATACTCACAGGATGGGGGACTCTATCCTGGGAATCAGTGACTCTGAAAAAGATATGGGGGACATGGTGGATAATCAGCTGAGCTCCCAGTGTGATGCTATGGCCAAAAGGACTAATGCGATCCTGGGATGTGTAAGCAGGGGACACTTGAGCAGCAGTACAGAGGTTATTTTATCTCTTATCTGGCACTGGTGTGACTGCTGCTGGAATCCTGTGTCCAGTTCTGGTGCCCACAATTCAAGAGGAATGCTGATAAATTGGAGAGGATGCAGAGAAGAGCCAGGACAATAATTAAAGGATTAGAAAACCTGCCTTCTAGTGCTTGAGCTCTTTGAGTCTCTCTATTTAACTTAACAAAGAGAAGGTTAAGGAGCGACTTGATTACAGTCTATAAGTATCTACACGGGGAACAAATATTTAATAATGGGCTCGTCAATCTAGCAGACAAAGGTATAACATGATCCAATGGCTGGAAATTGAAGCCAGACAAATTCAGATTGGAAATAAGGTGTCATTTTTTTAATGGCGAGAATCATTAACCACAAGGGTGGTGGTGGATTCTCCATCACTGACTATGGAGTGTTTGGTGAGAAAGCGCTTAGCCCTGAAGTCCTTCTTTCTCTGAGTGCAGTGGCACAGCCTCTCTGCTGTGTGAAGGCTGGTGTGTTCTCAGCAAAGCTCCTCTCTTGCCGTGGGCAGCAGTACAGTCTGTCTGTGTGGGGTTTTGGAGCGCCTGGTGAGCGGGTGTTGCTCAATGAAGCCTTTCCCACACACAGTGCAGCAGAAGGGCCTCTCCCTGGGTGGGTTCATTTGTGAATGGGGAGATATGATCTAAAGCTAACGCTTTTCAGGCACCTAGAGCAATGATATGGACTCTCCTCCAGGCCTTCCGAGACCCTGCTTTTGGCTAGAGCTTTCCACACAGCTATATGGTTCCTTCACCACAGGAGTCTCCTGATGTTCAATAAAATCCAAGATCATAGAATCATGGAATATCAGGGTTGGAAGGGACCTCAGGAGGTCATCTAGTCCCACCCCTGCTCAAAGCAGGACCAACCCCAACTAAATCATCCCAGCCAGGGCTTTGTCAAGCCTGACCTTAAAAACCTCTAAGGAAGGAGATTCCACCACCTCCCTAGGGAACCCATTCCAGTGCTTCACCACCCTCCTAGTGAAATAGTGTTTCCTAATATCCAACCTAGACCTCCCCCACTGCAACTTGAGACCATTGCTTCTTGTTCTGTCATCTGCCACCACTGAGAACAGCCGAGCTCCATCCTCTTTGGAACCTCCCTTCAGATAGTTGAAGGCTGCTATCAAATCCCCCCTCACTCTTCTCCAGACTAAATAACCAGGGCCGGCTCTGGCTTTTTTGCCACCCCAGGCAAAAAAGCCTCCCGCCGCCCTCCGCCGGGGAGCGTGGCAGGGGAGGGCAGAGAGCCCGGCCGCGGCCCAGCTCTCCCCGGCCGGCCGGAGTGCCGCGGGGAGGGCGGCGAGCCCGGCCGGGGCCCCGCTCTCCCCGACCGGCCGGAGCGCCCAGAGGAGGGCAGCGAGCCTGGCCGCGGGCCCGCTCTCCCCGACCAGCCGGAGCACCGGGGGAGGGCGGCCCCGCTCTCCCCGGCGGCAGGAGCGCCGCGAGGAGGGTAGAGAGCCCGGCCGGGGCCCTGCTCTCGGGCCTGAGCGCCACCCCCCTCCAGGTGCCGCCCCAAGCACATGCTTGGTAGGCTGGTGCCTGGAGCCGGCCCTGTAAATAACCACAGTTCCTTCCTCATAAGTCATGTGCCCCAGCCCCCTAATCATTTTCGTTGCCCTCCGCTGGACTCTCTCAATTTGTCCACATCCCTTTTGTAGTGGGGGGACAAAACTGGACACAATACTCCAGGTGTAGCCTCACCAGTGCCGAATAGAGGGGAATAATCACTTCCCTCGATCTGCAGGCATTGCTCCCACTAATGCAGCCCAAAAGGCCGTTGGCCTTCTTGGCAACGAGGGCACACTGTTGACTCATATCCAGCTTCTCGTCCACTGTAATCCCTAGGTCCTTTTCTGCAGAACTGCTGCTTAGCCAGTCGGTCCCCAGCCTGTAGTGGTGCATGGGATTCTTCCTTCCTAAGTGATATGAATATGGCATAACTAAGGTATGTTTTATGCAAGATGGGTCATGTGAGGTATCATTGGAAAGGTTATGATCTACTGACTATGATTATCCTATTTGTACACATGTATCATTTCTGTATCTGAAGTTAGGAATATTGACTATGTAACAATACACCTGGGGAATGCCCACCAGACCGTAGGCAATCAGCCTGGATGGGCCATTAAGGAGAACAATAGGACTTTGAAGATACTAATCTCGCACCTTCCTGAGAAGCTTCCTGGGATGCTGCTTTGACACTGCAGGGTCATGTGATCATGTCACCTGGTACTGGACTGCTAGTATTTTTCCACTACTAGGGGGTGGGGATCAAACTGGGAAACAAAGAATTCCCACCATATGTAAATCCTATTTAAGGCTGGGGAGTGAGTTAATCAGGGTCGGTTCTTCACTGAATCCCAGCCCAAGATGACTGCTAAAAACACCTAAAACTGAACTGGGGAAGAACTGGACCCAGGCTAGAAGTGTCTGGCCTGTGAAAGGAATATCTGGAATTCTAAGCTGCAAGCAAAAGAAGTTTGTCTTCAGGAATCTCTGCAACCTGCTTAAAACAACATTTATGGTTAGAAATTACTACTTGTAGCCAGTTTCTTTAGTGTAGTAAGCTTAGTTTGTGTGTTTGCTTTGTTTGCTCAGTAATCTAATTTGATCTGTTTGCTATTCCTTATAATCACTTAAAATCTATTCCTCGTAGTTAATACATTTTTGTTTTCTATAAACCAGTTCGTGCAATTCATAACTAGGGGGGCAAAACGCTATGCATATCTTCCTCCACATTGAGGGAGGGGGCGATTTTCCTGAGCTTACACTGTACAGATTTCTGTGCAGCGCAAGACAATATAATTTTGGGTTTGCACCCCAGAGGGGGTGTGCACTTGAGTCCTGGGCAATCCCCTAGCTGAGTCTTCCCATGCAGAGCTGATTTCAGTGCCTGTGTCTTCCTGCAGCTGGGCATGTCCCTACCTCTGTGTGTGCACGCTAGAGGAGGCTTGTGGGCCTGGCACACCAGGACAGGGTGAGGGAGCCCAGGCTGGTGGAACGGGTGGTCTCATTGGGACCCCAGTATGTCAGGTGGCACCCTGGAGTGGAGGGCAATCCATCACAAGGAGATTTTCCAAAGGGTAGAGCAGGAAATGACCCATGGGAGTTCAGAGAGACTGACAGGACTGGAAAGAGCCCCAAGGAATCTGCTCGGTATAAGAGAGGTTGCAGTGAACTCCTTGTTCTGGAGGATGCTCACATGGAAGAGGGGCCACGTACCTCCACGGATCCTGGGCAAAGGCAGCGGGATCTCTTGGAACGTGCCAAAGTCCTGACTCTGGAGGTAGCTATGGATCCTTGCTATGCACTGAAAGTGAGTATCTATGCATCAGGAACAGTCAACATGGATTCACCAAGGGCAAGTCATGCCTGACCAACCTGATTGCCTTCTATGATGAGATAAGTGGCTCTGTGGATATGGAGAAAGCGGTGGATGTGATATATCTTGACTTTAGCAAAGCTTTTGATACGGTCTCCCACAGTATTCTTGCCAGCAATTTAAAAAAGTATGGATTGGACGGATGGACTATAAGGTGGACAGAAAGCTGGCTAGATTGTCGGGCTCAATGGGTAGTGATCAACGGCTCGATGTCTAGTTGGCAGCCGGTATCAAGCGGAGTGCCCCAGGGGTCAGGCCCTGTGCTTGTTCTCTCATGCAGCACTGGCTTGCTGGATCTCCTGCAACCTGTCATCCTGAGCCCTCTTC